TTTATTATTTTACATGTGGATCCCAGTTCCCTCTCCCTCCCTCCCTCCTTCCCTTCCTTTTACCCTCTCTGCCCTCTCACATGCAATCTAACCATCCTCCCCTCCCATCCCCCACCCCAATTCCATATGTAGGGGAATGCCATCCAGTTGGGGTCATGTAGATCTGACAGGTCATGTGAAGTAGTGACTAGGGCTTCTCTCCTGTCTCTAGGTTAAGGCAGTTATCTCTCCATGGGGGATGTGTTTGCAAGGCCCTTTTGTGCACCAGGGATACATCCTGGCTCCACTGTCTGAGGTCCCTTAGACTGCTCAGTCCTTCTGGGGGGCCTCAGTCAGTCCCATGCTGGATTCCCAGCTATCAGTCTGGGGGCCCGTTAGCTCCTCCTTTTTCAGGTAAGCTGTCTCTATGTGCTTCTGCCACCTGGTCTTGTCCTCTCCATCTGCATCTGAGTTCTACTTCGACTCAATGTTTATGTATGGGTGTTTGCTCCTGTTTCCAACAGGCATTAATTGAGGGCTCCATGGATAAGTTAGTTGTTGATCTCGCTCTCCGGGAAGGGCATTTATGGTAGCCTTTCCACAGAAGCTCAAATTGTTATTTGGCAGCAGTCTTGTAGTTCTCTAGACCTTTCTTTGTGTTCAATTTTATCTTCAAACCAATATTGGCTCCCTCTTTTATGTTCTCTCTCTCTCTCTCTCTTCTCTCTCTCTCTCTCTCTCTCTCTCTCTCTCTCTCTCTCTCTCTCTCTCTCTCCTGTCTTCTATTCCTAATCGGACTCAATCTTCCTAGTCGCACGTGTTTTCCTTTCCTCCCCCTCATTTTCTCCTACTTCTATATTAGCATATCTTTTAACTGTGATTCTGTCATCAATCTCATGCATTCTATTGAAGTGTCCTTTGTAGTTCTTGTTTGAATACCTAATTTGTCTTTTTTTTTTTATTGCTTCAATTTTCATTTGCAAGTCTTCAACTGTTTCATTCAAGTGTTTGTTGCATTTTCTTGTTTTTGTTTTTTTTTTTTTTAAGGAATTTATTCCTTTTTTTCTAGTTGTGTTGTTTATGTTTTCCTGGATTTATTTAAGGGATTTTTTTTTTCATTTGCTCTTTAAGGACCCCTATCATCTTTATATAGCTGGTTTTAAGGTCTTTTTCTTGTGCTTTCACTATGCTGGGATATTCTCGGGCTCTGGTAGTGACATATTGCCCTGGCTATTATTGATTGTGTTTTTATGCTGGCATCTAGGTATCTGGGTTTGGGGTGATTATAGGTACTGATTTTTGGGTTTGTCTTTGGGTGCTTTGTTCCTTGGTTTCTGGTTCCTCTCTGGATTTTTGGAGAGGGTGATGGCTGTGTGTTGCTGTTTTAGTGGCCTGCTTAGCTGGTATGTTCATAGGAAATGTTTGCTGGTGTTAGATGCTGGGATGCAATGATAAGTGTGTAAGGAGAGAATTATCTGTGGGTTCCACAAGAGTTGTGGCCAGGGGAAAGGTGGTGGTTTGTTTGCAGGAGACTGACTCATTGGGTTTGAGGAAATGGAGAGATTGGAGAAGGTATGCAGGCATTTATCTGGTTTTCTGGCAGATGTGACCAAAGCATTCCTTTCTTTCTTTTCTTTTCTTTCTTTCTTTCCTTTTTTTAAATCAAGCTGTATTTGCTTGCCCAGCACTGAGTTCTGCCCCCAACCCTTTGAGTTCTAGCCTGGAATTTTCCCCCTCTTTTGAGACTACAGCAGGTTCTGGAGTTTGAAGCTCCCTCTAAAGCTTAGTGTGTTCCCAAGCATGAATGGTATTGGATTTGGTGAAGAAGATATGGCAGGCCATGTTTTCCTTATGTTCTGAAATATTTGAGTTAGAATCACAGCCTTTAGGCTGCTACTATAGGACTTAATCTGGGAGTGATCAGGGTAGAAGTGTTCCATTAAATTATGTCCCTCAACATAGAAATAAACAGAAGAAAGGGTCAATTGTAACAAGAAAAATAAAAACCCAGAGATTTATATTGGGGTTCAAGCTTCAAGCTGAAGATCAGAGAAGTAAAGCAGCCAAGCCAGTAGATCTTACCTTTGCCAATCCTGTCTCTACAAGTTCTCAGAGGCAAAAGCTCTGAGTTACTATCTCCTCCTGCCTTTTATTCTTTTCTCTCCCCCAGTCATATCTTTCCTGTCTCCACCTCCCTAGTGTTGTGATTAAAGGCATGAGCTCTGTTGCTCTTCACTTTTATGTAGGCCAGGGTGACCTTGAATTCAGAGAAATCCATCTGCCTGTCTCTTGAGTCCTGGGATTAAAGGTGTGTGCCACCACTGCCTGGCTCTATGCCTTGCTAGTATGGCTGCTGGGATTAAAGGTGTGCATCACTGTTGTCTGACCCTTATGGCTTGTGGTTAGCTTTGCATTCTGAACATTTTGTATTGAAACCATAAACTGTAGTATGTTGCCTTTAGTATGACTCTAAATTTGAGTGTTGGTATTGAAATCTGCACCTATACATATACTTACATCTATCCCTACACTTACCTAAAACCATACTTACAGTTTTTGTGTTAACTTTGAGTAAACATAGCAGTGTGTCAAGATTTATGGGAATCTGTTTAGGCTCCAGTGGATGGCCCCACAACCAGGTATATATTTGAAGCACAAATTAGAGCTGTTAACAAGCAGAGGACAGGAATTCAGGGGCAATTGGGGAAGTGGGTGGATCTGGAAGGAGTAAAGGGGGGAAATTATACGTGAATATGCTCAAAATATACTTGTAGAAAGGTCTTAAAGAGTTAATAAAAAACACTTTAAAGAACACTTTTTTTTTTTTTTTTTTGAGAATAGCTACCTGAGGAGAATTACTCATTTCAAATTCTTTCCTTCTATTTAATCAGAAAAGGATCACATGCATGACTTAAAACAATTTAAAATTAGAAAGCATTAAATCACATGTTTTTAAGATTGCAAAAAGACAAATAGTACCTAGGGTAGCCAGGCAGAATTTGGCTTCAACTGTACCACAGCTGTGGGATTTAAGGTTTCAATGGTCTTTGTGGAACTGTTGGATACAGAAAAATATTCCAACTGGTTCAATGCAAGTTCAGTTATTTTGAGCTGAATCAGAATAGAGAGGAGGAGGGCCCAAGGGGAAGGTACAGAGAGAAATCTTGTATCCCTTAGCATCCGTTCTTCAGTGAGGGGTTCATGACACACATCCACACTCCCTGAGAGAGCTTGAAATAGCCAGTGGTGTTAGAGAGGGCAGGAAAGCAAGGGGCACTTCTTAAAATCTCTCTGGGCACAGGGCTCCAGCAGAGCTTCTGTATTCAATTATTGTGCTTAGGAGGACATAAAGAGTTGAGGAATTTATCCAAAGTCCTCCATACAGCCTGTGGCCAGTAGAGCTAGAGCCTGAGATCAGGTCCATCTGGCTCATTACCCTTAAAAACATTTTAACATGGAATGATTTGCAGGCTGAAGTTTTCAGTGGAAGGGCGAGGCGTGTTCCCAGGCTTGTGACAAGTTATGAGATAAATGAGAACATAGACCAGGACCACCCCTTATTCTTGCTGTAGAGTGACTTAAAAAAAAAAAAAAACTCTGAAGGGAAACAGAGGAGGAGTGGATCTGGGAGAGAGGGGAAGGGGGCGGGAGAACTGGAGGGAGGGACACCTGTAGTCAGGACAAGAGAATAAAAAAAAAAAAAAAAAACAACAAAAACAAAACAAACCTCAGGATACAGCCAGTACAATGTAACATGCAGAAAATGAAAAACAAAATCACATTTTTTTTGGTTTGTTTGTTTGTTTGATAAGATTTGAGATGTGAGAGGAATCTCTTGTTTTCAAAATAATTCTCATGGACTCTAAGCATTTTTTCTTTGTGGCCAGGAAACATCAGCACACTGGATGATTCTATGTTCTGTAATGTTTGGGAGCAAAGCCATTTTTTCAGTGTGGTAACATTTAAATTCCCTTTGAGCAGAGACTAAGTTTGGGGGCTAGGGGGTTATGCAGAAATATCAGAGATCAGATATGGTGGTGTGGGTGGAGCTAAGATGGCATCTTCAGTGCATGAATACATAGTGTCAACTGGGGTCCAGACTTTTCTGCAATCATATATTTTATCCAATCTGATAGCACCTGGAAGCAGACTGATGGAGAGGGGCCATCTCCCCGGCCTCCTGCCCTGTGTCCACAGCAGACATTGCTAGTGAGTACATATTCTCCATTACACATAGTCCATAGTTCACAGCATCTCAAACACCACTCCTGGGACTCTTGTCACTGGGGAAATCTATCTGTCACATATGAATTAAGCATGGCAGCTATAGCACACATTTGAGAGCCAGAATGTCTGGGTTTAAATCCTGGCTTTGACACTGCCTATTCGGCTGAGGCTGAGCCACTGACCTCTATGAATTTGACCTGCCTCCTGCGGAAAATAAGAATAAAAACAATGCCTACCTCACAGTCATTGTGATGATTCAATGCATTAATGTCTTAGTTATGGAAACAACTAAAGGAGGAAAAGGCTTTGTTTGGATTTGGTTCAGGTAGGGGAGTAATGTGGCAGGAACTTGGGGCAGCTGGTCCAGAACAGCTGGGTGAATGGTTGTGCTCAGATCACTGTTTCATTTTTATGCAGAGAGAGTAACCAACTTAGGGAATGGTGCCACCCTGCATGGGGTTTTTCTACTCAGTTAACTTAATCAAGATAACCCTCCCTACTCACAACATGCCCATAGGCCCATCTCCATGGTGAATCTGTGTCTCTCCAAGGTGACAACTGGAACTGACCATCACAGTTAATATGCCTGCTTTCCACAAAGCACTTTCCTTTGCATGTTTTTATTACTGGTATTGTTTAGTAAGGCAACTCCATGCCGAAAGTAAAGAAACTAAGGTTCTTATAGGCCGAATAACTTGTCCAACATGATTTAGGCAGAAGTATAGTTGGGGTGTGACTCCAAGCCAGTGGTTATCACTGCTCCATGTCCTCCCTTGGATGATGATCATGACTCTCTCCTTTGTTTTTAAGCATTATTTGCACTTCCAGGATCCCTCTGTGTTGCCCTGCAGAAGAAAAGACAAGAGGCTCTTCCAGAGAGCAGAAAATAGAGCTGAGTGAGCAAGTGTGTTGTGAGTAAGAATTCAGGAGCCTGGGTTTTGACAGCTGAATTCTCAAGTTCTTGATTCTGAATCTTGTCAGGAAGCAAGACGAGTTAGAATATTGTGCTGCAGATCTTTATTGAGTGTTTTAAGATCTTTATTCAGGGATCTGGACACACAAAGATCTCATCTTCCATCCTGTGGGTACAAATCAGTGGCTAATAGTGGCCTCATTAATCACTAGGCAGTTGAGAATTCCAAAATGAATTCTTCCCACCACTTCTGGAAAGTGGCCCTTTGTCTATGAAGTAGAGGAAAAGACTGGCTGTACCGTTCAAGTGGAACTATTTATCCCTCCTTGCAATCATGGATAGCCACATAAATTAACCATTAAGAAGAAATGAAACTCGTAGTATCAATTCTGAGATGTAGCCTAAAGAATACTTGTAGCTTTCCCATAATTGTCTGGAATTGTCTACCACCATGTAAAGAAGCCCATGTTGGTTATGTGCAACATGTTCTCATAGACCCTCATGGCTCCTGCCATAGTCTAGCCACATCAACCACAGGAGTGAAGTCATCTCCAGGAACCCCCACTCAGCTATTAAACTGATCACAGATATAAGCATGAATCTCATTAGAGAACAATCAAGTCTCCATGTGCAGAAGACCCTTCCAGCAGAGCCCAGTCTGAATACCTAACTCAGAATGGTGAAGGAAATGAATGCTTACTGTTTTGAGTCAGTACCTTATTACACAGCTACATAGAATGGATACAGCAGCTACCTAAGTATGGGAGGCAGAAAACAGTCAGCCAAAAGTCCAGGGCAATTTGAGTTGCAGCTGACAATTTAAGGCAGGTATGTGTGTGCATGTGCATGCCTCAAGAATACCATCTTTGAGATAGGTTTCTCAATGGCCTAGAGATCACCAATTCAGCAAGGCAGGCTGGTCATTGAGCCCCAGGGATCCACCTGTCTCTGCTTCCCCAATGCTGGGATTAAAAGCATATGCTGTCATGCCCAGTATTTCATATGAGCTCAGGAGATCTGGCTGAGTTCCTCATGTTTGTGAGGTTAGCACTTTAACAACAGCACAGTTATAACAGTTTTAGGATTTTAAGATTTGCTCTGTGGAGTGACAAGAAAAGGGATAAAGACCAGGCTACAGAAACCCACAGAGATAGTTGACCTGAACAGACTGATATCTAGGAAACCAGCACTGGACCGACTTAGACCCCCTGAACATGGGTCTTAGTTAGAAGGCCTGGGCAGTCTAAGGGACCTCTGACAGTGGAACCAGGATGTATCCCTGGTGCACAAAATGACTTTGGGAGCACATTCCCCATGGAGGGATACTCCCTTAACCTAGAGGCAGGAGGGAGGGCCTAGATCCTACTCCAAATGACTTGATAGATCCCTCCTGGAAGGCATCACCCTCCCTGTGGAGTGGGGGGGATGGGAGGGGAGGGGAATTGGGGGACATGGCAGAGAGAGAGGGAACTGGAATCAATATGTAAAATATGAAAATGATAAAGAAATAAAAAAAGATTTGCTCTGTAGTCTAGATTTTGGCTTTGAGTAAGGCTTGTTTTAATTTATATTCTTCCCATATGTTTCTCTAGCAGTGCTGTGACCAGGATACTTTCCAGAAGAAACTCAAGCAAGGAAAGAATCATTGCGTCCTACATTGTTCTTATCTTATTTTGGGTATTGCTTGTTTGTGGCAAGGTCTTATAATGCAGCCTGGCCTCCACCTCTGTGTAGCTGATGATGATCCTCTTAGCATCACCTCCACAGTGTTGGGACTACAGGCCTTCATGCTCTGCTAGCACACTCTTCTGAAGATGCTTCATCCTACCATGGCAGAGAAGTCAGGTACAGCAGCTCAAGTCCATGGTAGTGGGGCATGGAGCAGAGGCTGTTCACAGAGCAACAGATCCAAAAGTGGAGAGCAGTACCAGAGCCAGTGCCTGGCCATGCCCAGGTCTAATGATCCCACAAGGTAAATAGTAAGATAAATCAGTGAGTTGCAAGAAATCTTTCTCTGCTTAAGTTTCTGGAAAGTGCCACTAGAAGTAGTACTGCCAGCTAGGCCTCATATCCTTAAGATAACAAAACCTTTGCTGGCAAACAAACATCAGAAGTATGAGCCAGTGACCTTTTTGGTTATGGCTGTTCAATCACAGTTGGGTCAATGGTCCCTGATCTATAACTTTCATCAGACTAATGTTTATATGTATATAACCAGTTAAAAAAAATTTTCTGTTTGTGTCCTCACTGTGTTCCATTCAAATGTTTCCCTCTTCCTCCTCCCCCCCCTTCTTCCTCCTTTTCCTTTTTGCCTGGAATTTGATATGTAGATCAGGTTTGTCTCAAATTTACACAGGTTTGCCTGTTTCTGTCTCTGGAATGCTGGTCTGAAAAATGTATACCCCCATAACATTTCATCAGAAATGAAATGAAAAGTGTTAATTCAGGACAGAAAGAATGTTCTGTTTTTCAAAGTTCACAGTCTTCTTCTTTGTACACTATTTCTGTGTCCTTTGCAGAAGGTGGAAGCATTTTCCTGGAAAGGTAATTTTGGCTGTAATCTTGAAGCCATCTGTGTGTCTGCCAGGAGGCTGGCCCTGGCTGGAAGAGTTATGGAGCTGGCATTATGGAGACTAGGAGGGCATGAGATGTGGGAAATTATTTTGAGGAACATAACTGGCTCCCCAAGATCACCCCAAGGGGTATCCTCATTAAGTCTACCCTCATGGGTGAAGGAAGTCATGAACCCAGTTCCTTACCCATCCACATTAACTCTTGGATCTGATTTCCCCTGCCAAGCACCCTGCAAGCTCCAGTGTCTCTGTAGTGGCAGGAGACAGAAGGGAGCAGACTGTCTTGACAGCAGGCATTTGATTGCTTCATTTTTCTTCCTGCTCCTCATTCTCTCCTGTCTTCTCTTCAATGTCCAGTGATCAGCCTCTTGACCAGAGAGGAGGACAGGATTTACCTTCCTATCTGGTTATGTCTCTTTTCTCATCCTCAGTGATGCAGTGATGGATGGCCTATTATTTTCTCTCCTGTTTGTATGAACGTGTGTGTGTGTGTGTGTGTGTGTGTGTGTGTGTGTGTGCGCGCGCGCGCGCGCATGCGTGCTCGCGTGTGTGTATGCAGTGTGGAGGACAGAAGTTGATGTTGGTTGTTTTCTTTAGTTACTTTGCATGTTGTTCCTATCCTTCCCCCTTTTCCCCCCTTCCTTCTTTTCTGTTTCTCTTGAGAGGTCTCTCACTGACCCACTATTTGGCTAGACTGGCTTGTCATTAAGTTCCAGGAATCTCTGCCTGTGTTTGCTGTCCCTTTCTGGGACTATAAACACATGCCACTGTACATGAGTTATAAAAAATATTATTGTTATGTGTGGGTATGATATGTGAACACACAGATGCACACCTAATGTTGCTAGAGTTTGTTTCCCTCCTTGTCCCACAGCCATTTCACTCCCAAATAAACACATGGATGCTATATTAATTATAAAAATGTTGGCAGATGGCTAGGGCTTCTTACTGGCTAACTCTCTCTTAATTACTAACCCATAACTACTAATCTATGTATTTCTACATGACCTTATCTTACCAGAGAATGCCTGCCACATCCTATCTCCCCAGTCTCTACATTGTGTCTCTTTTAGCCGCTTCTTTTCTTCTCTTCCCAGCATTCTCCTCATCTCGTAGTCCTGTTCCACCTATCCTTCCTGCCTCTACATGCAATCAGTGTTTTATTCATCAACCAATAAAAGAAACATCCCCCATCAATATAAGGAAGTCAGGGGACAATTTCATGGAATTGGTTCTCTCCTTTCCCTTCTACATTGGTTTCAGGAATTGAAGTGGATCATTAAGCTTGTGTGGTAAGAGCCTTTGCCCAGTGAGCCATCCTATGCTATCCTGTGTTGTTTTTATATGGACGCTGAGATTTAGACTTAGGTCCTCAGACTCATAAAGTGCAATAGCACTTTGCCAACTGAGCTCCTTTTCTATCAGTCTCAATCATTTCTTGCTTTTTATTTTATAGATGGGGAAATACGTTGTGATTAGTCAAAACTGACCCTCATCTGGTGTTCTAGCCAGGCCCCAGAATCTCCCAGATGGATCACTCTTCTGTGTTGCTTCCTATCGCAGAGCTGAGGCAGGCAATGTAGTACCACAAATCACAGTGTTACAGTGACTACTGAGCTCCACGGAAAGCTCAGGATAGAATATATCAGTTGTCAGAGGGAACCTTAAGACTCTTTTGCTTCTGGGGTCCAAAAATTTATGCAAAAGTCCTCCCCCCAAATCCTTCAGTCTTCCTGGTCATATGGTCCCTGTTACAGCTATTCAATTTTGTCCTATTAACACAAAACAGCCACAGGGAAGGTGTTAACATATAGGTGTCCAATAAAATCTTATTGGCTAATGAGGTCATAGTGTGCCAAATGCATGCTATGCAACAATCACTTTTCTGTCACTTCCACAGGAACACCAAAACCCACATAGGCTTCAAATGATGTAAAGAGAAAGAAGTCTAATTTGGCCATGGTTGCCCTATCGTGAGTTTGGGTTCCTGATGTAGGCTGTGCATCCTGTGATGAGTGTAAGTGAGGGAGAGAAAAGAGGGTGGGGGAAAGCAGAGGGAGAATTCTGTTCAAGGACTCCTATCTCCAGTTACTTCAAAGCCTTCTAAAATGACTTGTCTCTTACAGGTGTTCAGCCCCTCCCAGGGCCACCACTCTGGAGTATAACCCTTATGTGTTGTTATCCGGGGAAAACTTCATCAAGCCATAGCACCAAGCCTTGATTTAGTTCAGTATTCTCCTTTCACAGATGGAAGTGGAAATGCAAAGAGAGGAAGTAATTCCAGGTCACAAAGCTAGTTATTACAGCAAGGCTTGAAACATATTGTAGGTGTGGAGTTCCAACTGTAAAAATGTCTCTG